TGTCAATGCCACGTCGATATTGAATCTCAATAATTTGTGGTATTAAATCTTGTAGATGTATCAGCCAATTATCTATCCTTTTGTTTCCATAATTTTTCTTCTTGTGCATATTGACAAGTGGTTTGTGGTCTGTTTCGATGATGATCTCGGAATCGCCGATATAATTTCTCAATTCAGTGAGACACCAATAAATTGCTAAAGCTTCCCGTTCAGTGGCCGAATATCGCCTTTCAGTATCGTTAAGTAATCGTGATTTGTAGTAGCAGATCTTCAGTCCATCAACTGTCTTCTGCTTGAGTACTCCAGCAATTCTTAGTTCACTCGCATCTGTAGATAAGATAAATGGCACTGATCGATCTGGAAAATCGAGGAACAGTGGTGCACTTGTCAGTATTGATTTGAACTGGTCAAAGGCATCTTGCTGTTCTTGATCCCACCGAAATTCATGTTTTTTCGTTCGTGTTTTATTGGTAACCTTGTGAATAGGTGCTGCAATTTTTGCAAAGTCGCGAATAAATTTGTGATAATAGCCAACTTTACCAACAAATTTGTTGGCTTGTGAGAGTGTCTTTGGTGAGGTAATATCAACGATTGCTGTGACCTTGTCTGGTGCTGGTTCTACTTTGCTACCTGTAATGATGTGGCTTAAAAATTCAATTTTCTCGACGGCAATTGAGCACTTTGGTGGTGACACTTGAAAATTGACCTTGTGAAGCGTTGAGATGACATCGGCCACATGCTGTTTGTGCTCTTCGATTGTTTTTGAAAAGATGACAATGTCATCGAGATAGACGATCACATAGTCCCATCGCCCATTGGCCAATAATTCATTCATCACCCGTTGGAATGTTGGTGGCGCATTCATAGGTCACACTATTTGAGTTACACCAGTCCGTACCAAGAACTAACTTAGCACCTAATGAAGCGACAATAAGGGCTGTAATGACAGTGGTAATATCATTGATAGTGACACTTAATTCAAGTGTACCATTGAGCATAATATTGGTTCGTCCATCACCGAGTGTCGCCGTTGTTTGAATTGGTGGATGCATAATATTATCAAGTACAGCTTGTGAAATGAAGGATGTAGTAGCCCCTGTATCAACCATTGCGTGAATTGATTGACCATTGACGAGTGTATCAATTATAATAAGTGATGGATGAGATTGTAGAAAGGAAGTGCGACCATCACACACTCCCTCTAGTAGTTTTTTGAGCAATTGTGCTGATAATGGTCCATACCACCGCATGACCAACACCCACCATAGGTTTTCTCGTTGTTGGTGTGTCGCGTTTGAGGTGGGCAGTGTTGTGGGTAACGAGGTTGCTGTGATGAGTAGTTGTATTGTTGTCGTGGAATTGAAGAAGATTGTTCTTGTTGCATGATAGGATGTTGCATTGTTCTTGTTGATATTTTTCTGTAATGATCAAACGATGTGGTAGCTTTCTGTTGAATTTTTTCCTCTTCTTGCCATTTATCATACTTGATAAGAGCTTGGAGAAATTCTTCAGTAGTGTCCGGGCTTTTTAAATCCATATGTAGTTGAGCTGCAGCATTGAGCCCTTTCGTAAGATGTTTGAGTCGAGTTTCCTCATCCATGTATTTATTAACTTTTGAACAGAGTTTAAGGACATTGTGGCAGTAGTCAATTGCCAACTCATTTGGTTGTCGTCGTCGATTATAGAGTTTTTGTTCCAATTGAAAGTGATCGGTACCAGTTACAAGTGTGAAGTAGGTCATTAATTTGTTTTTTAGTGTGTTCCAATTATCAATTGTATCCTTGTGTGTGTCGTACCATAGTTTAGCATTGCCCTTTAGGAGATCAATAACCACCGATAGCCGTTGAGCATCGTCTAGTTGGAGTTGATCACATTTGTAGCTAAAGTCGTCAACCCAGTCTGAGACCTCTTGTGAAGTCGATCCAGAGAACGGAGTAGAATCAAGTAGTTGATTGATTCGTTTGGATTGTAGCTGTTTGACAGCTTGTTCCTTGAGGCTAGGTTCAGCCTTCATGAGAAGAGGTGGTGTTGACTGCGACAATAGAGCTGTTGTTGATGATAAAGACGGTTTAGTTGATGATATATTTTGACATAATATTTTGTTTTCTTGTATAGCCTCTACTGCTTGAGAAAGCTTGCTGATGATGATCTGTTGTGTTGCCATCTCTTGTTTGAGTTGTTTGTTCTCATCCAACTGCAGATCTTGTTTAGCCAATAATTGTTGTAATAATGGCATAATTTCATTTGATTGTTGGATGTCTACTTGCCCATGTCTATTCTCATCTTGATAATCCATGCTTAACTGTTGTTGTTGTTCAACGTAGATTGGGGACGGTTCCCGTCTGGAGTTGCGGTCAGAATCGGTTAATGATAGAAATTCTTGGCTTTGTGCCATGCTTCGAGTATGATGCTACGCTCGTTGTTATCAATGTATAACCCCGGGTCTCTCACTGGGTTGTTGGATTGTCAGTAAGATCGGCTAGTGCACCAGTTGGAAACCTTGGTTTCTTGTCCGTTGGTCAGTGAACAAATGTTATCTTGTGATTTCTTCTGAATTAACCTTTTAATATCCAAAGATGAATTTAACCGATACAATCACACTTTATTATAAAAAATCATCAACTATATATATAGGTTTATGAACAATGCATTAGATATGGTAATGTCCGAGTTAAAGGAAATTCCCCAGACAGAATAGAGAGAAAACCCATCATTCAAAAGAAAGGAAAGAAACA